GCCACCTTAGGTGTACGTGGCTGGCGCCTTAGCCGGTTGAGCCATAGGCGCCGAGCCTCTGTGTTATAACTTATTCAAAAATAAAGTTGCAAAGCAAACCAAACCAAATACACCGACATCGGAGGAAGCAGTGGGGAAAGTGGGCAGGGCCCAGGGAGGGGTGAGGCTGGCAGGAGGAGAGAGAGAGACTGCTGGAAGTCAGGGGGGCTGTATGTTCTCTTGGAGGGTGGATTAAAGAGGGGCTGGGGATCCAGACAGGACCAAGGTGGTGAGATGGAAAATGGCAGAGCTTGGGGTGGGAGAAGGCTTGTGTTTGAACCTGTACTTGGCAGGCACAGTGAACTTGATCTTGACGGGGGCACTTCACTTGTGTGAAACTGTTTCCTCATCCATCAAATGGGGATAAGGATGGACTGGACTTTATAGGACTTTACAGGACTTCCCATGAGGGTGTCAAAGTAAGGAATATAAAGTTCTCAGGGGTATGGCGGCTTTGCACATCCCAAGTTGGTTTTCCTGTATTCCCAAGCAGTTCCCAACACCCCAACAAAAGTGAGAGCTTGGTTTAGAATAGGGGCTATCTTCAGAGGTAGGGGACTGAAAACCTTAGGCCCACGACCTTGAGGTCATGTGTTGTGGATGTGCCCATCTGCCTTCCCTTTGGTGCAGCAGTGAACACGAGGAGCCTCCCAGCTGGGGACCACTGGGGAAGGCCAGGTCACAGCCAAGACAGAGCAGTGGGGCCAGATTCCTCCCCCACTGCCAAGGATGGCACTTACCAGATAAGTGTAAGGTTGACCTCAGTGTTGGGAGGATAATCCTCCAGCTGGACCAAGAACACAAACAACAGGGGACCCATAAAGTTGACCAGGGCGATGACACCAGGGGGCAGGTACTGGAGCAGCACAAACAGGGACTCCTACAGGAAGAAGCAGGTCAGGGCAGCCCATGGTTGGAGGCCTGTGCAGTTCCCCCTTGCCCTGTGGCACCTGGAGGTGCAACTCTGCTGCAGGCCTGGGATCTGGAAGTCCATAAATTATTCCCTGCAGCAGTCAGTGGATGTCCGGTGACAGCCAGTCTGACTCATGACTACTTAAGCCTCTCTGAGCCTGTAAAGCCTTTAGCCTTTCCTCATCTGTAAAGTGGGATCATCCTATCTCTCCCACAGTCTGGTTGGGACTAAATAAACATAATTTCCTGGCACCTCCTTGTTGTCCTGTGAGTACTTGGTGGCCCAGAAGATGGCACTGATGGCGCCAACCACCAGGAGCCCGATGAGGACATTGACCCGCAGGTAGCTGAGCAGGTGGCAGGCCCTCTGGGCAGGGGACTGCTGCTGTACCATCTGGAAGCACCGGTCCTCCTCCAGCTCCACCTGCAGGGGTGGGCGAGTAGGTATCAGAGGGGAAGGGCGCTCCCCATGTGAAGCATGCTCACATTCACCCAGTCACTGTCACACTTGCACACTTGTGCACTCAGCCATGAATGTGCACACACTCGTGTATTCTCACACCCACTTGGTCATGTTACACAGTCACGTGCACTCTCATGCCGTCACACTTGGCCAGTCACTCAGCCATGCATGTACACACACTCATGCTCGCAGTCACACGCCCTCCCGCCATCACGTGTTCACACACACCTTGAACTCGTTGCTTATCTCATGCTTCTTGATCTTGGCTGATTCATGCACATGGATGCAGAAGTCCCAGGAGGAGAAGACCTTGGCACTGAGAGGCACCCTGTAGTCTTGACCCACGAATGACTTCTGTGGCAGCCCCTTCACCATCCTGGAGAGACCAGGGGCTGCTGACGGAGGGCCACTTTGCTCTTGGTTTGGGGTGGGAAGGCCCCGGGCAGCCTGGGGTGCAGACCTTGGGGATACAGAGCAGTGGCCCTGCCCCTGAGGTCAGCAGCTGGAGCCTGGGCCCAGGAACCACCCATGAGCCTGCTGAGTGGGGCCAGGGGGCCTGCCACCTGGGGGGCACACCCTGCCAGGAAGGTGTGATCAGAGAAGGTGCCCTGGAAAAGAGCAAAGGCACAGGCTCTGCTCTCACCGCTGCAGGGTCCCGCAGAAGCAGAGGAGCAGGCAGACCAGCGGGCTGAGGAGGTAGGCCAGGCGGATGCTGTACGCTGAGCTGCTCTCCAGCTCTGCCCGGTAGGCGCCATAGAAGAGGTAGGTGTTGCTGAAGGCCTGGGGACATCAACAAAGACAACTGAGCCTGCGTCTAGCCTCAGGCTGTCCTAAGAGTCTCCCAGGAATGGGGAGCATGCTTGTTCCAGACATTTGTCCCCTCTGTTCCTTGCACTCCCACCCAGTCAGGCTCTGAGGCATTTGTGTAATGGCCTCTTCCTTTCTTTCTCTTTTCTTTTCTTTTCTTTTTTTTTTTTTTTTTTTGAGACAGAGGCTCAGGCTGTCGCCCTGGGTAGAGTGCTGTAGCGTCACAGCTCACAGCAACCTCAAACTCTTGGGCTCAAATGATTCTCTTGCCTCAGCCTCCCAAGTAGCTGGGACCATAGGTGCCTGCCACAACGCCCGGCTATTGCCTCTTCCTTTTTCTAACCTCATTACTGGCCATGCCAGGCTATCTTTGTAAAATTAGCCCCCTAGAAGCCAAATGCCCTTGCAGGGCTGGAGTCCTCTTAGACTGGAGTCCCCTGAAGCAAGTTCCCTGGGTCTCCCAGGGTCCCTGGACCACAGCCAGGAGAGACCTCACTCACCATGCCGGTTAAAACATTCCAAAGTTGATTGTGGAACTTTGGGACACGGGTCTGGGGCTGGTGGCTGCCAGGGCACTGGAGGGCTATTGAGGAAAGGGAGGGTCCCCAAAACATAGGTGAGGCTCTGCTCTTACCATCCACAGCCCCCAACCCTGGGGGAGGCCTGAGCCACATGAAAGACAGGGTGAGGGAGGGTCCTGGGGTTGGCCACAGCAGAGCATGCCCAGGGTGGGGCACTGAGAGTCCAGGCTGTTCTAGTACACTGAGCCCTGGACAAGCCCATGGTACAGGGGGGCTCTGGGGAGCCATTTCATCCTTGGGCACTCACTCAAGTTCAGGGTGGGGCCTGAGTCAGGGGGGTGGAGCCAGGCCAGGGGCAGCAGCACAAAGCTGGCGGTGACCAGCACTGTCAGCAGGTTGAGTATCAGCAGGAAGCGCAGAAAGGTGAAGTAGGACCGGATTCCAGTGCCAAAGAGACCTGTGGGGAGAGGATGGGTGGGTCAAGGGGCAGAGCCTCCAAGGTTGACCAACCTTGCTCCGACCTACACAAGTCCAGCAGTACCTCTAACAGCCACCAGGGTGTGCTGCCACCTGCGAGGTTGGCGCCTGTGTTGGGGCCAAGTCGGTGTGTGAGGATGACCGGTGGGGATGGACAGGGCAGTGGCTGGTGGGATGATGCCCTACTCCCGTTTCCAAACTGAACACTGACACTCCAGGGACTGGAGGGGGAAGAGGGGTCGGCGCTCGGTTCCTACCCCCAATCTCGTAAAGAGCCGCCTCCCAGAGCCCAAAGCCCCGGGCCAGTCGCTGCGCTGCTTCCCCCAGCCGCCGTCCTGCTATCTGCTGCCTGCGCCTCCACTGCTGCCAGAATGAGGTCTTCATCCCCTCGGGCTCTCGCAGCTGCCTGCCGCAGGAGAAGTGATAGGGCCGCCCCAGAGTCACCCACCCAGTGGCCAGGCTGATGGCCCACGGACCCGCTGGTATTCCCACCGGTGCATCCTCCCCTCGCCTGGCTGTGTTGGGGCAGCACCCACCGGAGGAGGCGCCTGTCGGCCATGGGGTAGGGCAGCTCGCGCACCGGCGCCCGGGAGGCGCACAGCCGCTCCATCTCCGACTCCCACAGCTCGTCGGTCGCCATCTCCTGTTCTGGTTCCTGGGGGGCCTGCCCTGACGGCCCCGACCACTGCCGAAGCATCTCTGGGGCCCACCGGACTGCGACCCCTGCTCCCAGGAGGGATGTGGAGCGCCAAGTGGGTGAGCCTCAAGGTCGGGGCCTTGGCTCACTCAGGAACCTGCTCGGTTCCGTTCCAACTCTCAAAGCGATACACGGCCAGGGGCCTTGGTCACCCCGTCTGTCAAATGGGGTGAAAGTACCAAAGGGCTCGGAAAGATGGGCCCGTAACCGACAAAGCCAAGGCCTGCTCCATCCCAGCCCTACCTGCCACCTGGGCCGCAGGAATTCGGGCCACCCTTTGGAGAGAATTCTCGCTCTTCTTCACCTGCCAATTTGTTCTTTGGAAGAAGCTCCTGTCACAAACCCCAATGGCTCCCAGGATCAGCCTCCTGCAGGCACCCTGGACCCTCTTCTGGTCTAACTTTGTGCAGTGCAGCCCCAGCCCCAGGAGGAGGCTCTAATAATTCCTCTCACACAGCCCCAGGACCCCAGTTCTCACTTTCACACCGTCGCCCTCCGCTTCCTCCCCCTGCTCTGCATCCAGCTCACTTGGGGACCAAGGAACCAAGTCTCCGGTGGAGCCCCCTCCTCCGACGGCTTCCGCCACGCCACGCGGGACCGTGAGGGAGCGGAGGGGACGGGTCACATGACAGGAACCCTGGCTCCGCTCCCCTCCGCTCCCTCTGTCCTCCCCCCTTCGTTTCCTCTGCTCTGCGGTTGAGCGGGCGTTTCCTGCGGGCTCCCGGGTGCAGCGAAGCAGGTGAGAGGCGCCGGCCGTCGGCGCTAGGCTGGGGTCGGGCCGGTCCTTCCGCGCCAGCGTCGGGGCCGGGGCTCCTGCTCCTGAACGCCGCTCGCTCGCCGGGATCTGCCGCCTGGCCGGCCTCCGGGGCCACAACGTGGATGTTCCGCGCCCCAAGCCGGGGGCTGCTCTTGCGCGCACGTCCGCCCCCTTCCGGCTGAGGAGCCCAGGCCTGACCCGGGCGGGGCTGCGGCCGCGCGCCAGGCCCCTATCTGCTACCGCAGGTCGCCCTGAAAGGCACGATAGGACAATGGTGGGCCCGATCGCACAGGACTGCTGCGTTTCCAGAAGCTCTTGGCCTTAATGTTGAACATGGCCTTTCTGTCCCTGGCACCACCATTATGCCAAGGCGGGGGCTAGTGTCTGGCCATACACAGAAGCTCAGGAATAGGCTCCATTCATGTCCCTCCAGGACAGTGGTTAAGGGTCATCGTGACCAAGGCTCTGCGCCGGTAGCTCAGTGGTTATGGCGCCAGCCATATACACCGAGGCTGGGGATTTCAAACCCCTTATGGCAATGACAACTGCAACAAAAAATAGCCCGGTGTTATGGTGGGCAACTGTAGCCCCAGCTACTGGGAGGCTGAGGCAAAAGAATCTCTTAAGCCCAAGAGTTTGAGGTTGCTATGAGCTGTGACGCTATGGCACTTTACCGAGGGCAACATAGTGAGACTGTCTCAAAATTAAAAAAAAAAAGTGTCATCTTGACCGGCTCCTTGTGCACAAATCGCTTGGGAGGGCCCACAGTCCTACCCTTCCTTTTTTTTTCTTTTGAGACAGTCTCTCTCTATGTCACCCTCAGTAGAGTTCTGTGGCATCACAGCAACCTCAAACTTCTGGGCTTAGCGATTCTTTTGCCTCAGCCTCTCAAGTAGCTGGGACTACAGGTGCCCTCCACAACGCCCGGCTATCTTTTGCTTGTAGTTGCATTGTTATTTTGCAGGCCCAGGCTGGATTCGAACCCACCAGCTCTGGTGTATGTGGCTTGTGCCTTAGCTGCTTGAGCTACAGCTATAGCTGCCAAGCCATGGCTATTTTTTTGTTGCAGTTGTTTAGCTGGCCTGGGCCGGGTTCGAACCTGCCACCCTCGGTGTATGTGGCTGGCACCATAACCACTGTGCTACAGGTGCTGAGCCAGTCCTACCTTTCCTTGCTGGTCCTTCTCCTTCAGGGTCATCTCAGGTCTAAACGCTCTCGTGGCTTTTCTGTCTCCGTTCCTGCCTCCCTTCTGGTCTCTAGAGCCTTCTCTTGTGCCTGGGGGTGGCACAAGCTGGGTGCTGGTAGCAGGGGGGAACATAGTGGGCTGGAGGAGTTGGTGGGGACAGATCCATACTTATGTATTTAGGAAGAAAGCAGTAAGTGCTCCTCCAGGGCTCAGTCTGGCTAGGCTCCCTAGAGGAGGTGGCCTTCAAGTTGGGCCTGGGGTCAAGCAAGTTCAGTGTGAGTGTGCAGGGAGGAGCAGCAGGAGGAGGAGGGGAGGGGCCTGGCAGAGCCTGAGGTATCTCACCCGAGGTCCCATGCAGGCAGGCTGATGGCTGCAAAGAGCCCTAGCCCAGCTCCTCCTGCTCTGCCCGCTTCAAGTCCCCTCCAGCTCTGGCTGTAGGAGGGCTTCTTCCCCAGTGCCCCTCCTCCTCCAGATGGATGGTGCTCTCTCAAAGCCAGGCTCCTCCAGAGAGCTCCTAGGTGGCCCATGAGTCAGGCCCTGGTTGGGGGCACCCTGCAGGGTGACTAACCTCTCTGCCTCAGTTTCCTCATCTATGGAGGAATATCATTGCTACTTTCCTGGCTCTAGGGGAAATAACAGAAAACAGCACTGCTGATTTCAGCGTCAGCCCGGCTCCTTTTTGCTCCCTGAGCCCCACCTACTGCTCAGGCAGTGAGCCAGAACTCCGGCTAGATAAACAGCAGAAACCTAGCCCAGATCGGAGTGGGGAGACTCCCCCAGCGGTGGGGGTTGGGTGTGGGAGAGTTTGAGGCTTGCTGAGTTAGGGGAGGAAGGGGGCAAGGGCGAAGAGTTGCCCAATCTAGTGTCGAAAGGCAGGCGTCAGGAGGGCTAGCAGCCCTTCTCACTTAGACAATCTCTAACCGTGCGCAGTGGATGGGTCTGGAATTAGTGCCCCGTTTTGAAACTTGGGGAAACTGAGCCTCACAAAAATTGGGGACCTCAATCAGAGACTGGAATAGAACCAGATCCCCCGCCGTCCTCACCCTGCTCAGACCCAGGGTGGGGAGAGACAAGGGGTAGGAAGTTGGCGGGAAGGGCAGGTCGCCGCCGGGCGGCGAGAGCAGGGCGGGTCACGTGCCCGCCGAGGCCGGCTGCGTGGGCCGGGCGCTGCTGTCGGTCCCAGTCACCCCCTGGGCACTTTGTCACCCCTCCCACCGACCCGGCGGCCCCTCCCTCGGGCAGCGCAGCCCAGGCGGCTCCCGGCGGCCCTTGCGGGGCACAGGTGAGCGGCTCGCGGGCGCGGGCCCCACCTCTCCCGCGCTTTCCAGGTGAGCCGGGCTCGGGGTGCGGGGTACCGGCGGGGCGGCAGCCCCGGGGCTGGGGGCGGCGCTCAGGTCAGCCTGCCCGGGCTGGTTCTTCCCTGTGGCGGCAGCTCCGCCCCCTCCGAATTCCACTCGGCCTCCGAGGCCTCTTGGCTGCCGAGTTCCCCTGGGTCCCGCTCTGGTTTGGACCCCCCGGCTCTGCGCGCGAGGGGCGGCGGGCATTGCAGCCCCAGCCCACCAGCCGAACTCCGGGCACCAGGTTGGGCGGCGGTGTGACCCGGGGCGGGAAGGCTAGGTCGCACGGGCCGGTACCACTGGCTGCGAGGGGAAGGGGTCTGGGCAACCGGCCAGCGCGGGTCGAGGGACTCAGGCGGTGCTGCGGCCCCTGGGCTCCGGCCAGGTGGTGACTCTTTCTGGGCAGAGGCTGTTTCCGTTGGACTCGCTGCCAACTGGGGTGGCGGTTCCAGGAAGCGGCCCCGCCTTGCCCTCCCCACCTGGCTCAGGGCTCAGGAATGGTGCACCCCGGAAACTCCACCAGACCTGCCCCGGCCTGGGGGCGGGGAGCTGGGCGCTTTGTCCCGCCGAGCTGAAGTCCCTACTGCTCAGGTGAGCCCCCACTGCGAGGGCCCCACAGCCTTCTGCACTCCTTGTGGAGGAGAGGTGCATGGGGAGTCTGTTGGAAAAAGGGAGTCCGGCTCCAGGGTGAGGATGGAGGCACCTCGTCTTCACTTCCCACGACTTTCCCATCTGAGGACGAGTGGAGGTCCAGCTCTGACCCTCTCTAGGCCGATTTCACACCTGGGCTCCCGCTGGAGGGAGGAGCCCGGGGAGGCGTTGACCTCAGGCCCTGTCTGGGTCCTGTGGTTCTCCCCCCTTTCTAAATTGAGTTCCCTGGGGGTGAGTGAGGGGAGATCTGGAGGACCGAGGGCGCCACAGTCCTGCTGGGGTAGAGCCTTGAGAGTTGCTTTGTGGTTGGGAGCGTGTTACCCCCACCCCACCGCCATGGGGTGAATAGACTGGGGCTGGAGCCCCAGACAAGGCCCCTCTGGTTCCAGTTGTGTCAGCGACTGTGTCAGTGATGGTGACACAAAGCTGGGACAAAGGGATCCTGTTTAAGGCTTGGCCCTACTCCCTCCAGCTGGCTGCCCTAGGGTGATGGAATGTGAGGGCATCAGTCTCCTGAGAACTGGAGGACCTGGGAGCCCCTGGGAGCCCCTTGGAGCCCCTTGGAGCCCCTTGGAGCCCCTGCAGGGTGGCCTGGAGTGGCCTGTTCTCTTTGTTGCTTCCCCTGGGCCTGGGAGTGCAGACCCAGCGGCTGGTTTCCTGCTAGAGGAAGTGTTTGAGGTCACAGAGCAGCACAGGGAAGGCCTCCCAGCTGCCTTGACCTTTCTCCTCAAGTGGGATGTGTCTCAGCGCCAGAACCCTGGGAATGGAGGGCCTGGGAGGGGCTGTGTCCACAGGCACTCTACCCTTCCCCATTTCTCAGGGACTGGCCAATATCCAGGAAACAGATGGGGCACGGCATCTCCCCTCCCTTCCCTTTTCCCCTCTGCCTAGCATCCTGGGCAGTGGAAGGTCTCTCCCTTCAGTCCATTCTGACATGGGACCACTCACCTGACCGCATGTTCAACTGTGGTTGAGGTGGGATGGGGGATCAGGCGGCCTGGGCTGTGAGTGGTACCGCCCTGGTTCCCAGGGAAGTGGGTGGCTTGGACGTGTGCCAGGCATTGAAGGCCAACTTTGACTGAAGGCTCCTTGTCTCAGCAGATGGGCAGCAGGCGGCTCTGGAGGTGGCATACAGGCTCTGAGCTGCCCTAGGTCTGCAGACTGGCTGGGTGTGGGCTCCAGATATGGCCCAGCCACTGTCCTTCTTCCTCGATGTCCCTGAGACCCCAGGGGACCAGGAGTAAGCACTGGGGAGCAGAGGGGATAGGGAGCTGGGGCATATTGTGACCTTGTGGAAGGAGATGGGGGCTGAACCTTGACCCTGTCCTTTGCCCCCAGCCAGGAGCCCAGTCCCTATGATGAGAGTGAAGTGCACGACTCCTTCCACCAGCTCATCCAAGAGCAGAGCCAGTGGGTGACCGAGGAGGGGCTAGAGCTGCAGCCGAGAGAGCAGGAGACCCCAGGTAAGCCAGGCTTGGATGCCACAATGGTGCGGACAGGGGCTTAGGCTTCCCAGTGTCTTGGGACAACCCTCCCAGCAGTCTGTAGGCCTGGGATGGGGATGGAGTGGCTGAGACCACCAGCAACGGTTATCTCCAGGACCTCCCGCCAAGTCTTTCTTACTAGTAGGCAGTGGCCATGAGACCTTCCTGGGGCCCGAGAGTGCCCCTGTCCACAGCACAGCCACACTGCGCATCTTGGCCAGCATGCCTAGTCGTACGATTGGTGAGTGGGATCTTCTGTCCCAGCATTAACCCCAGCCCCTGGGCCAGGCCTGAGTTTCAGGCGGGCGTCTATGTACCTTAAAGCCAGGCTCTGTGGCCAGGCTCTCCTAGCCATCCTGTCTGCTGCCTAGAGGCCTTGCCTAGCCCTATGCGGCCCCTGCTGGGTTCTAAAAATGACTTGAGTCATCACAGGGGTAAAAATAGGTTCTTGGGAACCCACTGGCACCCAAGGTCTCTGCCTAAGGGATTTTCCTGGGTTCTGGGAGGGGTGAGGGATGGAGAGGCCTGGTGCAAGAGCCATTCTGGAGTAGAGGGGAGGGAGGCCCCGCCTGGCCCTGCCCAGCCTTGCCCAGCTGCTTCTGTAGGCCGCAGCCGCGGAGCCATCATCTCCCAGTACTACAGCCGCACAATGAGGCTTCGACGCAGGAGTGGCCGGCCCCTGCTGGGGGACGTGGTGGCACGCTCAGCCCGGCCCAGCCTCCGCCTCTATGACCTGGAACTGGACCCCATGGCCCAGGAGGAGGAAGGTGAGTGAGCCTGCCTGGCCAAGCAGCAGACACCAGCCTGAGGTGAGGGGTCGGGGGTGGCAGAGCTGGGACTATGCCCCTTTCTCAGCCTTTCTCAGCTGGCTGCTTGAAGGCCTCCCTCTGTAGGGACCTTTGGGGGCAGGAAAGCAGGGGTCTTTCAGGCTGTAGAAGGCTTGCCCTATGGCAGGCAGGCATTCAACAGACAGACATTCATAAGTATCTGTC